AGAAAAAAAAACACACACACACGATGCAAACATTGTGTTTGCACTGATTTCCGATTCCATATTATTTTGCACACAAATAGGCAAACCGACCATATCAAAAAAGGAAAAGAAAGAGAGCGATAGGGTGCGAGGTCGGTTGGTCCATCCATCGATCTATTGCTCGATATTCTTAATATAAACATGGATTGAAAGCTCTCTCCCCAAATGCAAATCAGTCGAACATTCGTATCCATTTTTATCATAATTTTTCCATTGAAAATCAATTGGGATTTTCTCTTGGTAAATATGCACGACTCACATCAAATCTCTGCATCACAAATCTAACCAACATACAAAGTCTATAAAGAATAATATCAAAGTCTATTGTTTTATTGCATGTAATATTATTCAAGCTATGAAACAGCCATGCAATAACAATACGATAAGTCGATTGAGACTCTGACTTTGTAAACTACGTTTAAATATATCTATCGCACCATAACACAAACAAGCAATAAAACATGACACTAAGTTGAATTGAATGTTATTTATACGCATAATGAGAAAATTTATACGCATAATGTTAGTTAAAGAAATATTAGTGATTCTAGGAACCAAAAACAAATATAATCAGTAAAAATAAATTCCATCGTGTTGTTTATCAAGTCTTCAGCAATTCTTAGAAATATTCATAACGAATAGCGAATAGAATTTGCTTCATATCTCCTCTTTTCACGTTTTAATTAATAACTGTCATGTGACTGATATATCTCATGCGTAAGGACTCGAAATAATATAATAATAATTGTATATCCAATCAAAATGAAAGAAAATATTTTTATGAGCACTGCTGGTTCAGACTATGCGACAAATCTGTTGAATGTCTCCATTTGTAATTCATACAATTCGTCAATTAAAAAAAAATTCGTTTTAACGATACAATTGAAGTTGTTCATTTGACAATGAATTACATGAAAAATGGGATGTCGCACAATAATTGATAATTTGATTTTACATTTCGCAGCGAAGAACTATCGTCTTCGATCATTTTTTCAGAACAAAATCTTCTTTGAAATTCTATGAAGAGAAGAGAAAATTGTTGGCAGAATTTGTGTTTGTTTATTTTTCATGTCGAATTCGCGGCTTAGATGATAAACTTTTCAGCAGAGCTTAAAAAACACCTGCAGAACAGGGAAGCAATTTATGAAAGACCGGGTCGTAAATTAGGGCAATAAAACACAAGTATTTCTTGCTTGAGGTAGGGTAGCAAACATCATACGCACGTGTCTATGATCTGTCAACAAACGTGCGTATCACTATCGCTTGTTTACATTTTGCAATATATATATATTAGCAGCACTTTTATAAAAGTAAGTTATCTGTTTAAATAAAATAAGAC